AAACAACAAAAATATGCTCTTGATCAACAACTATTTGAAACCAATGTCCCTGAGGTGTGGGAAAAGACGTCCCAGAGAGTTAACACGTGAAGCAGGTCCTAAAGAATCTAGTAGTCTGCCAAGCAGAGAAGACTTTGCAGACCTAAGATTCAATGTTGAACTGCCATGTCCAATCATCCTAGATGCCTCTAATGCATTCAGCTTTTGACTTATTTTTGCAAATATGTCTTATAACTCACAGTTGGGGGGGGGGGCAGGGGAATGTAATCCCATAATAAGTTCCAAGAGCTAAGTTTTGATTTTTACTATAAAAATCCACCTTTCAAGGGTGAAAAAAAATCCCATGATATGGATTCTTAGAGACTTATTTTTTACTTAAAACTCTCTCAGTAACTACATTTTAGTTTAACACCTTCAAATAAATTGACCAAACCCAGCAGATTCAATAAACTAGATTTAGTAAGAGAACCTCAGAAACTTGAGTGCTTAATTTCTTTACAAGCTTACTTTCCTTAAATTCAAATTAGTTCATGTGCATTTTCAAGTTAACTTGAAGAATGGAAGTTATCACTTACCAAAATCATAAAAATAGCCCTGGCTGGGTGCTCAGTTGATTGGAGCATCATCCCATATGCCAAGAGGTTGCGGTTCAGTTCCCAGTCAGAGTTGTGTGTGGGAGGCAATCAATGCTTCTCTCTCTCTCCCTTTCTCCTTCGCACTACCTCCTCTCCCTCCTTCCTCATCTTCCTCCCTCCCTCCAATTAATAAAATCATGCTCGGTAATAATTATTTTTTAAAAATCACAAAAATTCAAAAAAAATCATAAAAATTCTCTCACATGCCAAAAATTCAATCAGCTTACTTACTGTTGACTGAGGGGTAACAGGCAGAGATAACACAAAACTACATTTTACTTTTGGAATGAGATTGGCAGAGACTGGTGGCAACTAATTATCTTGGCTCCTGGCAAACACTTCACCAGAGCCACACACCCACTCACTGCTTGAGAAGAGGACAGCTTCAGCCTTGTCAGTTTTCTGGAAGGTTCTGAGTAGGAAAAGGCAGTCCAGGCCCTCATATACTCAGTAAGTAGCCACATAGGTAGAGAAAGAGCATGTCCTTTTAGACCTGAAGGCATCTGACTTGGAGAGGGGATCTGTCAAATGTTCCATCTTTCCTGAACAGAAAAGGACCCTGAGGCCCTGGGAACTAGGTGAGTTTTTTCTCCTCTCAAATCCACAGTGAGTAGAACCCAGGGATCTTCACTTGGTCAGCCATCATTTCTACTATCCTTGGCCATCTCTCTTTAGGACATCAACATTTTACAAATACAGCCAAAATGTTCAGTAGGTGAGAACACTCACGTAATAAAGCTGAGACTTGGAGTTCTGACTCTTATATAGCTTGGAATGTGAGAACTGAAGAGTGAGTCATCAGGACAGCTTCAGTTATGTACCGGAGATGATCCAAACTCAGCTGGCTCACAGCTTCACCCAACTCAGTCTCATTTCCCCCAATATTAATGGCTATGACAAACAGTCCTCCTCTGAGAGAAGGTCCCCATCCAGTTTTAAAGAATAAACAGGACTACTGGGATACCTAGCACCACCAGTGAAATTAAGCTAGCACAGTGAGGTCCAACAAAAGGCTGATGCCCGCTGGCCTAAGGCAGCACAGGAGTGCCAGCAGACACCAGCACTGTTTTCAGTTGCCAGAGACTCTCAACGTCAAGGGCAGAAAAAAAATCTGGGTCATGTAAATTTCTTTTGTCATCTGAGTTCAATGGGATTGGGGTTCTGAAGGAGAGTTCATGCCATCACCTTCTCTATTCCTCACTGAAAACCTTTTAGGAAAAACAGTGTTTCCTATACTACAAACTTCATGGGATAGAAGAGGCAGAGGAGAAGAGAGTCAACCATAATGGTGTAAAAAATAGCAGAGAATCTTAGTCAATTTTAACATGGGCAATATTACAGACCTATTTTTACTGATCTAATAAAAACTGTAAGTTCTTCTGTGTGGTAAATCTAAACACTGGAGCACACAATTTTAATTAAAATGTGAAATTATTTAAATTCTCTAATAATTGATATTAGAGCATAGATGGGTTTTTTTTTTTTTTTTTTTTTCTTAAAATCTCTCTTGCAACAGGGTACTCCACTCATTACTGGAATATTCAAGACTTAGACAAAGATCCATTGTCAGAGAGAATGCTACTATGACAAAAGAAGTGCACAAATTTTTCTCTTTTGCAGTGACTGAATACTGCTAGAAACAAGCAATCAATTGACTAGACTAGGAAAACATTTCTGTTGTGCAAATATTTGTTGCATCATTATGTATCATCTGATGGTATAATTTGGACTCTATGGGTCTCATCCTCTTGGGAGAAAATGTTCCAACCCTTTCATGTACAGCCGAAACTACAGTTTGAGAATTAAACTTGAGTAGGCAAATGACAAACTCAAGTGTATAATATGTGTTCTCATTAATTAATGTGTATAATGGTTATCTTGACCAAATTCTCCCTACAATGATACTCATCTTTGGAGTACAATAATTTCATATAGCAAATGTACTGTTAAAATTACTTCAGAGGAAGGTACTAAAACTCTTCGGAGCACCCCAGGCACAGTGTCCCAAGGGCATGCCAGTAACGGGTGCGGAATCCACAGGCATTGCCTTGATCTTTCCATGGGGCTGCTACTCTAGTGTTGGGCCAGGCAGTCAATCTGTTACTCAGTTTTGAAATATCTAGACAAATGTTGCTCTTAACGTTTCTAACACCATAAAGAAAGGGAGTGATAAAAGCCTGTTTAACAATGTATCTTTATTTTACAACTCGTCCTCCAGTTGGCATCACCTCCTCGGCTGGCCTTTAAAACCAAAACACACGACTGACCAAGAGAATGTGTGAAGTCGCTCACACACACAGGCTGATGAGACAATGTAAGTTTGTCTGGGTCCTCATCTAGCCAGACAAGGGGAAACTTCTGGCAACAGCAACTAAATAGAGAAACTCAGCCACTTCCAGGACTCCTCAGTGTGGCCACATCCGTGTATGGGAAGTGAACTGCAGGAGAAAGAGCATCTACTGCAGTGATTACAGGACAAGTCGTGTTACTTTCCTCATGTGTGTGTGTGTGTGTGTGTGTGTGTGTGTGTGTGTGTGAGAGAGAGAGAGAGAGAGAGAGAGAGAGAGAGAGAGAGAGAGAGAGAGAGAGAGAGAGAATGGGTACAGTGCCTTCAGAACATAACATAACAGGATGAAATGACATAAGAAAAAGAGTTGGCTACAAGTTCAGTTTCCTCTCCCTGCCAAGCCAATGTTGCTATGACTGTAGCAAATGTACCATTGGCATGAAGAAAGGTGCCAAGGGCAGACTCTATGTAAGCATGCAGGCAGTAAATATTTGGGTTCTGTCTAATCTTTACAGGTGCTACTGTGTTTCCCTGAAAATAAGACATCCTCTAAAAATAAAACCTAGCGCATGGAAAAATAAGACATCCCCTGAAAATAAGACCTAGTGCAACTTTGGGAGAAAAAATTAATATAAAACACTTATTTTCGGGGAAACAGGATATTTAGATCTGGAAATAGGTTCTATTATCTAAAGGCACACCTCGTTTTGTTGGAATTTCACTTTATTGTGCTTCACAGGTGTTGCGTTTCTTTACAAATTGAAGGCAAGACCCTCCAGCAAAAAGATTACAGCTCACTTTATTGTAATCCTCGCTTTATTGTGGTGGCCTAGAACTGAACCTGCAATGTCTCCTAGGTATGCCTGTACTTAGAAATGCTTTTTTTTTTTTTCATTTAAAAGGAAAGAAGATGCTGAAACTGGTTTGGCTCAGTGGATAGAGCGTTGGCCTGTGGACTGAAATGTCCCAGGTTCGATTCTGGTCAAGGGCATGTACCTTGGTTGTGGGCACATCCCCAGTAGGGGATGTACATGAGGCAGCTAATCGGTGATTCTCTCTCATTGATGTTTCTAACTCTCTATCCCTCTCTATTCTTCTCCGTAAAAAATCAATAAAATATATTTTTTTTTTAAAAAGGAAAAAAGAGTAAGCATTGCAGGAATTCAAGGATGACACAACATACATCCAATCAGTCCTTTAGAGTGAAGCAGTTGCCAAGCAACTGCTGATTCCAATGGCTTCTCACCATCCTCCTAACCAGCTAATTTCAACATAAGAGAGGGCAAGAGAGATTGACCTTGACTCACCTCATCGCCAACCAAACGTAGAAAACCCTTTAGCGCACAGTGGTTTTCAACCTTAGCTGCACATTCGAATCACCTGTGGAGCTTTCACAACTCGGGATGCCCACACCACACCGCAAACCAATTATATCCTAACCTGGAAGTGGAGAGGGGAGGGCGGTGGCGGGCACCTATATTTTTTAAAGTCGCCAGTGACCCCGGATGCAGTCAAGGTTCAGAACCCCTCCTGACCTCATCTAACTTCTGCTGGAAGTCCAACCAGGAAAGCCAACCCAGAGCTTTTCCCAGCACAGCCTTCTGACTAAAGCAGATACTGCAGGGTCCCTCCCACAGGCTGGCACCACAGGTGTCTCCACTGAGGCCCGCAGAGTGCTGAGCAAACAGCTTATTAGCTCAAGGGTTACCCAGATCCTCACCGGAGAGCCTCCTTTCCAAATAGTTTGCAGTTAACAAAAACAAAAAACAAGTTCGCCCATTTTAAGAGATGTCACCCAAGCCCAAAGCCCTTTAGGATTTTTTTTTCTTTGTTCTTTTTTTTTTTTTTTTTAAGGCAAATCTCTTGGGAAGGACAATCAAAGGATAATAGCATGCTCCACACAGAGCTTAAGGAAAAGCAGGCATAACGTACAATTCCCTACAATTCCCGTGGCCTAGAAGACACCCCGAAAGGCGTCCCCCCCTCCCCCCGCCTCCCTACGTGGGTGTGCGCGCGCGGCCCCGCGGCGACTGCACCTGCTGGGCCGCACCTGCTGCGCGGGGCCCTCCCCGCCTTACCTTCCAGCAGCTCGTCCAGGCTGGTGACCTTCCTGCTGCCGTCGATGGTGTAGATGGTGCGGACGCCCTGGGGCAGGTTCACGTTGTCCGACAGGGAGCGGGTGAGCTCCATGAGCAGCGCGTCGAAGGAGCGGAAGCGGTCGCTGGAGATGGCGAACACCAGGCCCTTGAAGTAGCGGTCCCCGTTGCGGTAGAAGCGCGCCTTCTTGGCCTTCTTCTCGGAGCTCAGGGCCTGCAGGGTGCGCGTGCGGTAGAAGCTGCAGTGCGCGCTGTGCGCCGGGCTGGGGATGAGCCCGTTGCCCTTGGGGCCCGAGCTGCTGCTGCCCCCGGACGAGCTGGGCGCCCCTCTCCGCGACCCGGGCCGCGGCCTTTTGTCCCGCTCCTCGAAGTGCTCCAGCTCGATGCTCCTGGTGCTGCTGGCCATCGTGGCGGCTCCGAGGGCTCCCCGCACACACACACAAAAACCAACCAAAACCAAAAACGTCCCGGCCAAAGCCTGCAGGTAGCCCAGCCTCAATGCAAGAACCGACTCCTCCGGAACGCGCGGCCGCCAGGGGCCTTTATAGCGCGGGGACACCTGGTTCGGGCATCCCGCCCTCCGCGCAGGTGGAGGCGCTGAGCCGCCCTCCCGCGCTCTCCTCCTCCTAGCAGCGGCCGCAGCGCCCGGCGGCCCGGCTCATTGTCCGGCGGCGCGGCTGGCTCCGTCCCTCCCGCCCGCCGCCGGGGAGCCCCACGCCCCCGCCAAGCGCCTCCTCCCCGCGGCCCCGCCTCACAGCGCCCGCCCGGGAGCCGGCCCCGAGCCGCCCAGAAGGGCCACCACCCAAGGCTCGCCCCCGGCCCGCGGGCGCACGCTGAGCTGGGGCGCCCGGTGCGGCTCGCATCCGCCCGCGGCCGCCCGGAGCGCGGCGGGAAGGAAGGAAGGGGCAGGGGAGGGTGTGGAGCGTGGGAGCGGCGCCGCGGGCCCGCCCACTCGCGCCTGGTCCTGGGCACGGAGCTGCGGCCGAGCTGGTGCCCTGGGCCAGCGGGAGGGTCGGAGGGCCTGGCGGGCCCCTTCCTGCCCCTGAGTCCGGCCCTAGCGGGGAATAAGGCCGCCCGCCGCCCCCACCGCAAGCCCACCCAGCGCACCGGCTGGCATCCGCGCTCGCCCCCCCCCCCGCCCCCCAAGCCACGGGCGCGGCCCGAGGTCAGGGATGGCGGAGTTTTCCGCCCCTAAGAGGTGCCAAGACCCCGGCGGGGGGCTGCGAGGTGAGAGGAGGGGGCTGCACTGGTGGGCGCAGAGGCGCTGCAGGGCGAGGGGAGCGGCTCCCCCTGGGTCCTAGGCAGCCTCCATCAGCTGACAGCTCCAAACCCGCATGCACACGCGCCAATGGGCTGGGCGCAGCCGCGGCGTGCGCTCCTCTGCCTGGGAAATGTGTACGCACAGGGGGGAAAAAAAAAAAAGAAAAGAAAAACTCACAAAGGAAGGAGATTCAAGGGCAGGGATCACATCCCTCAGCCAGCCTCCAAATGAGGAATCCAGGGCAAATGAGGCAAGACATTTGAAATATGGCACTGCGTTAGGGCACAATTTTTAATTTTTTTTAAAAAAAGATTTGGAGCTTTATTTAGAAAGTCTTTGGTAGAACAGGCTCCACAATTTCCACTGGGGGTTCACTGACTTGGCACATTCAGCGACTTGGAATGCATGAATGGTCAGAAGTTATTGGTTTTTGAGGGGGTTATTTAACCTACAAATACTTATTTTTTCTAAAAAAATATATATATATTTTGTTGATTTTTCACAGAGAAGAAGGGAGAAGGGATAGAGAATTAGAAACATCAACGAGAAAGAAACATCTATAGCTGCCTCTTGCACACTCCCTACTGGGGATGTGCCTGCAACCCAGGTACATGCCCTTGACTGGAATCTAACCTGAGACCATTCAGTCCGCAGACCGACGCTCTATCCACTGAGCCAAGTCGCTGATTCAAAAATCAGATGATGCCTGGGCTGCATTCATCTGAAGATTTGACTGGGGCTGTAAGATCATCTTCCAAGATGGCTCACTCACACAGATGTTGGGAGGAGGTCTCATTTCCCAGCCATGAGGACCTCTCTAGAATCTCTTGAGTGTTATCCCTTTCTCCAGAGCAAGCATCCAAGAGAGAACACGGTGAAAGTCATCTTTCATGATGTAGGCTTGGAAGTCATACAATGTCATTCCCCAAATATCCTAAAAGTTACAGGTAAGCCCAATTCAATGTGGGAGGAGAGTATGCAAGGACATGACCACCGGGAGTCAGGGTTCATTGGGGTGATCTTGCAGGCCGATAGCACAGGCTTCCATCATTAAACCTTTAGGTTTCAATCATTCAATTTAGGACATGGACAAAAACACATTTTCTCATTCAAAAATCCTTGATGAAAGATTTTTCCCTTTTAAAATAGAGAACACAATATATAATAATAAAAGTGTAATCTGCTAAATAGACCTGACAGCCAAATGATCTTCCAGAAGAAGCCATAGCAGTGGGGGCCGAGGCAGAGGCAGTTAAGGGCGATCAGGCAGGTAGGCAGAGTGGTTGGGGTGATCAAGCAGGTAGGTGAGCAGTTAGGGGCAATCAGGCAGGTGAGCAGTTAGGAGCCAGCAGTTCCAGATTGCAAGAGGTTGCAGGCTGGGCTGAGGGACTCCCCCCACCCACCATGCATGTATTTAATGCACCGGACCTCTAGTCTATAATAATAAAATAAAAGTAAAATATGCTAATTAGACTGGACATCCTTCTGGACAAACCCTGTGTCTGGGTGCCAGAGGGAAGCCAGTGCTGTCAGTCGGGGGGGGGGAAAGAAGGCCTACTCTTGCACAAATTTCATGCATTGGGCTTCTCGTGATCTTATATGTCAATATTTTGACATTACTCCCTAACATTATATCCCTAAGTTAAATAAAGATTACTGCTTTTAAAGAAGGGTAGAGAAAAAAGATAAAGCTGTTATTTAGTTTAAAAATATTTTGCTCCTGTTCTTTGCATTAATCTGTTTGAAGAATTTTACCCCTGAAACTCATATAAGAATTAAGATAAAATCACTTGAAGCCCTAATCAGTTTGGCTCAGAGGATAGAGCTTCGTCCTGCGTGGACTGAAAGGTCCCAGGTTCAATTCCAGTCAAGGGCATATACCTTGGTTATAGGCACATCCCCAGGAGGAGGTACGCAGGAGGCAGCTGATCCATGTTTCTCTCTCATCGATGTTTCTAACTCTCTATTCCTCTCCCTTTCTCTCTGTAAAAAAATCAATAAAATATATTTAAAATAAAAGATGTAATCACTTGACTTCCAATGACTAAGGTATTTCCTTAGTGAATATAGTATATAATAAGACCCAGCTGGCAAAAATTGGAAGATTTAATGCGGTGGAAAAATACTTTAGCATTACAATTCTAATGCAAACATTAGGGGCTTTAGGTAGGCAACTATTAATTAATTTGGGTTACTCCATAATTTAAAATTCTCCCCTTTTAAGAAGTTGCAGAATTTGCTGAGTAAAATGTTTTAACTACCATTTCCTTTGTTGAGATACCCCTTTTGTCCTGACCAAGAAAGAGTGTCTGATTTCCTAATCATTTGTTCTTCCAGAAATGGCCCAATTCCCCTTGGTGGTTGCAAAGTCTACCAGCTCTGTCTGCCTGGGTCTGATGTAAAAGGGCTTCATTAGGAGTCCCTGACCTGATTCTTCACCGCGTAGAAAATTCTTGGCCTTAGCTCTCGGTGGGCTGTGGATTTTCTATATCCTTTTCTAACCCCTCTTAATCAAACACAGAATAAAATCTTTTGTGCAGAGTACTTTAGAAATGGCTTCATTCCTTGGCTACAGAGAATCCAAGAATTTCCATTCAAAATCTCTTTTCCATATTTCCCCCCATGATTAGAAATGACTTCTTTCTGCTCTTGATATGCAGTCATTTTAAATTTCACATCCAGTGGATGTGAACCATTTGTTGGTGATACCCATGAGGGGGCTTCTCAAAACTATGTGGGCAGAAAAAGTCAACCAAACATGAAGGAGAAGTCAGCTTGTCCTGTTCTCTACACTTCTCCTTGGCTCACGCAGATTAGCAATACCATTTCAGAGCTGCCTTTAGCCAAGTGATAACTCTTCCTCCCCTGCTCACTTCCCCCACCTCCACCTTGACAAAGACATACAATGCAAATTTTTATTTAGTGTAATTTGATTAAATGAGATTTTATTACATATGTACTTCCTTGTGGATGTTTACATAAAAAAAAAAAAATTGCCCTGAATATCTCCTGGTTTTTGCTTCGTGCTACTTTATTTCTCAAATGCATTGGCAAATCTTTAATTTGCCCAGAAGCTTCTGCTTTTAAAGGCAGTTTTCCAGTGACTCCATTATTTATTATGTAAAGGATGTTGACAGACCTTTTAGACTGCACTGTGCTGAGACTTTTCTGCTGCCTCATGTTTTCATCAATCCTGCTCACGGCGTGCCAAGCACTTCTCCCAGAAGCCAAAGTGATGAAACAACTGTTTTTCAGTAAAAGTGCCTATGACTAGGAACTTGAATTTTTGAAATTGAGCATTATTTTCTATATCATTGTCTTTAATGATTACAAATTCTCATGTGTTCTGTCGAGCTTTAATGGGGAAAGGGCATAAAACAAAACTATTCAGGATGAGTCTCTCCAACCTACCCTGTAACCTGAACTTAAACCGGGAAGACTTTCTGACAAATTGTTCTCTCATTTTGCTGTTGCACCGTGGGAGCTTTGCTGTCCTTTACAGCACTTTACAAATATATTGATGACTTCTTTGGAAATATATAGGAGTATTTTTGTTGCTCATGTGGGATCCTGATAGTTTATGCTAATGAGGGGTTGTTGGGTCCCCGGTTTATTTTAAGGAGATGACTAGTGGCCAGAGAAGGGCTGGCCATGCCTAAAAGACAACCATGTGATTAAAGGATTAAGGATTTGAGTCACATGTTATCAGACTGACCTTCACTGAGAGGTGGGGGCCCAGAGGTGGAGTTCAATTAGATGGCTAATGATTCAATCAACCATCCGTAATAGTCTATAATAATAAAAGCATAATATGCTAAGTAAAACGCATGTCCTTCCGGACGAAGCTGGGTCTCTGAGGGAAGCCTGGGTTCGGGGAGCCAGAGGGAAGTTGGTGCCGGCAGTGGGGGGAAGGAAGGCCTACCCTCGTACAGATTTCATGCATCAGGCCTCAGTACCTATATATGAGGGGATGATTAAAACTACCTTTTCAGTTCAGAGCATTTAAATTACTGGTAAGCCTTTCAAAAATTCAAGCTTGTTTCTTATATAAAAATAACAGTTGAATTGAAGAAAACTTCCAATATGGATACTTTAAATGTGCATAGCACACAAGCACTTTATTTTCTCATGGGAAAATGGATGAA